TGTGTGTACTATTCCACGTGTGTACTATTCCACGTGTGTGTACTATTCCACGTGTGCACCAAAGTTTGTTCAGCCCTCCTGCTGCTGGGCATCTCGGCTGGCTCCATCTTTTTGCTGTTGTGAGCAGTGCTGCATGGGTGTGTGTACCCGCGTCACGGCTCCTGTTCCTTGAGGATGTGTACCAAGCAGTGGGATTACTGTGCCTTACAGCGTTCCTACTTCCAAACTTCTTGAGGAAGCGCCATACCATTTCCACAGTGGTTTCACCTTTTCAGTCCCACCAGCAATGGAGGAGGGTCCCAGTCTCCCCATTCCCTCAACTGCCGCAGCTGCCCCGCTGCCTCCAGAGAACATAAGGGTCACTATGAGTCGGAACAGACTCGATGGCAGTGGGTTTTGATGACTGTTCTGTAAGGAGCCCAGTGAATCTGTCTGTGAACCCTACGAGTACAAGGCAGTTCTCTCCTGTTCTGTGGGGTCACTTTGAGCCAGAAGCCACTGATGGTGGCTGGGCTGGGTTTGGTCTGGTGACCTGCATCATCTGGAATAGATCCTGGGGTCAGGAGAGGAGACACCTAGTGGTTTGGGCCTGGGTCCAAGAGGGTCGGTCAGTCTATCACTGCCCTAGGTGATGGGATCTGGAACGTTCACTGTGCTGAGAGCAGGTTTGCTAACCAGAAAATCTTGCTACAGAACACTCCACTCCTAGCTGTGCTTGGCTCCTGCTGCTGACCAGAATGCCCCAGCACCTGACAATGGACCGACCCTTCACTTCCAAGCCCCAACTCACCTTCTTCAGCTTGACCCCAGACACTGACACCAGCTTCAATGACACCCCCCCCAGCCAAAGAGCAGCTCTGGGCTGCAGCCCCCTGGACCTCTCCAGCAGACCCTTGTGCCAGCCCAGGACCGGGAAGCGCACCCGTGAAGTCCGTTATGTGTCCACAGAGCCTCCACGCTTGGCCTGTGGCTGGTGGGCCTTCACCCCGAAGTGTCTGCAGACCTTCAACACCCCTCCGGGCATACTGCTGTTCCTATGCCTGGCCTCCTTCCTACAGGGCATGACTGTGAACGGCTTCATCAACACCGTCATCACCTCCATCGAGCGACGCTTTGACCTTCGCAGCTACCACAGCGGCCTGGTAGCCAGCTCCTACGACATTGCTGCCTGCCTCTGCCTCATCTTTGTCAGCTACTTCGGTGGCTCCGGCCACAAGCCCCGCTGGCTGGGCTGGGGTGTGCTACTCATGGGCCTGGGCTCCTTCATCTTTGCTCTGCCCCACTTCACCGCTGGCCGCTATGAGGTGGAGGTGGCTGAGGACGTGGCCACCTGCCGGGGCAACCTCAGCACACCCTGCACAGACCAGGCCTCAGGCCTGTCCCACTACCGCCTTGTCTTCATGCTGGGCCAGACCCTGCATGGTGTGGGAGCCACGCCGCTCTACACACTGGGCGTCACCTACCTGGATGAGAATGTCAAATCCAACCACTCCCCCGTCTACATTGGTGAGCAGGGCTGCGGGCACAGGCGGGGGGTGGGCAGCTGGAAGCACATCTTCTTGAAATGATGCCAGCTCTACCCATTCCAAACCCTCTGTCCATGTAACCTCCCAGGGTCCAGGTATTCCTCTGAGGGACTGTCTGGTCTCACCTGGGCGCAGTGCAGCTGAGGGAGACGGTGCTACCTTCGGGGGTCCTGGGAATCACAGCGCACGGGTAGTGGTCGGGGGTCCCGGGGGTTACTGATCATAGGCTGCTGTCAGGCCTGGGCACAGGGCCTGTGTGGACCCGGCTGCCGGATGGGCCTAGCCCCTTCCTACTGTGGCCCTCAGCACATCTGCCTGGGATGAGCCTCCTGAGTATGGCTGGGAGACCAGGGCCAGATTCCCTGGAACATTCTCCTCTTACGCAGCAGCTCTGCTCTAGGGTCTGGCAGCAAGAGGGAGATGGAGGGGCCCTGGAGATGTTAGCTTGGATGAGTGAAGGCTTAAAGGAGAAAAGCAAAACACTTGTGACTACTGTCTACAAACTGGGAGATATGTACACAATCCAGCAAAGTCCACAGTGTGGCTTTGGGGCAGCGCTCAAGACTTCCCCTCAGCCCTGAGCCAGTTCACGTGGTTGTTGAAACAAATTCCGAAGCTCTTGCATGCCCAGGACTGCACTGTCCCCTCCATCCCCTGGGATGGGGCTGAGTCACCCACAGCCCCAAGGAGGACAGCATGTGGCCTTGGGGCAGGCTTCCCCCTAGGATGGTAGGCTCCCTGTGTTGGGCCATCAGCTCCCAGAGTCCTGGTCCTGCCTCCCCCGTGTTGGGAGCTTTATTCACAGACTAATGCTGTCCAGTGCGGTGCAGGGGCCTGACCACCGTGTTTCCTTTGCAGCCATCTTCTACACAGCGGCCATCGTAGGTCCCGCAGCCGGCTACCTGGTGGGAGGTGCTCTGCTGAACATCTACACGGAGGTGGGCTGGCGGTGAGTGACAGGCCAAGTTGTGTGTGGTGGGGAGTCTGGACTGATGTGGTGTCCAACTACCTCAAGGGGATGGCAGGACTCAGGGCAGGAGGACACCAGGACCTGCCCCAACTGGCAACGGGGGCCCAGGGGGATAGAGATAGCACCAGTGTAGATAGCAGCTGAGGTTCAGGAGATTTCCGGAAGCTTCCTGAGATGTGGTCGCGACTTCTCTGGATCCCTTTGTGGATGACTGCAGGTTTTCCTGCTGCCCGTGTAGAACTGTAGTTTCTTTTATTTCTTTGAACCTTCTGTTTGTGATGCTAGTTTTTATAAATGTAGACAGGAGAGAGACACAGAGAGGGGGAGAGAGAGACCTGGGTCCCCAGCCGCCTGGGGAGGCCAATGGGCACTGTGGGTGGGTGGCCTGGCTGTGTGCCATGGGTTGGCAGCCCAGTGTGGAGAGGGGTTGCCGTATCTGCTAGTGAACAGAGCCAGCAGAGTGCCCACTGTCTTTCAGGACGAAGCTGACCATAGAGAACCCGCTGTGGGTGGGCGCCTGGTGGATTGGTTTCCTGGGTGCCGGGGTGGCTGCCTTACTCATCGCCATCCCCATCCTTGGGTACCCAAGGCAGCTGCCAGGTGGGTATCTCCCATCCCTTCCTCAAGTCTGTCCTTGATCCCCACATCAGTAGAACCAAAGCCCACCTCTCCCCTCCTGGTCATTTTACATTAACCTGGCGTGTGGATGGCCATGGGTGGGAGGCCCTGACTCATCCTTGGGGGTCTGGGCCCACTGGATGGGCTGGTTTCAGCAGGGGAAGTGCCCTGCTCTCCTTTCTCTTCCCTCAGGTTCCCAGGGCCACCCACCCACCCTGACACCTCCATCGCATCCACTGTTAAAGGCCCCTAATGCGCATGTCCTTCCAGGCACCCAGCGCTATGTGGTCATGAGCGTGTCTGAGACCCAGCAACTCAAGGACAGTGATCCCAGGACCTCAGCCAACCCCGACTTCGGGAGAACTGTGCAGGACATGCCTGTGTAAGCACCAGGGACATGGACACTCCCTGGACCCTGCCCTGTGGGGCCGCGGAGGGGAAGAGGGAGCACTCCCTGGACCCTGCCCTGTGGGGCCGCGGAGGGGAAGAGGGGTGACTATTCTGAGACATGGGATTGTTTTAGCCCCACACTCAAGGTTGGGGGCTCGATGGGACACACAGATACAACTCTTTCTAGGATAAAATGTCCCCACGTGCACGCAGATGTGTACTTTACTCACACAAGAGGGAGAACTGAGACCTCGGTGTGAACGGGTGGTGGTCATTTATTTTGAGCAGTCTCCCTGTCGTTGATGGACAGGGCTGCAGACCAAAGTCCACCCCATTAACGATTCAGAGATGCTCACAGAATCACTAATGTCTGAGAGCACACAGAGCAAACTTCCTATTGCCGCCTCTGAAAACAGAGACTCGCTTCCTTCAGCATTGCTATTCTGTTAAAGGGGTCCACTCCTGTGTTCTGGGGACAGCATAGTGACCCCGTCAGCAGACAGCCCTGGTGTTGGTCAAGTGCCCTGCTACTTAGAGTGAGCTGAGCAGGGCAGGGGTGAGGAGTAAAGCTGGGGAGGCTGAGGCAGCAGCTGGGATCTCTGCCCCCTTAGAGAAAGTCCTGGTGTGGCTCTGTAGGATAAGCACTGGGCTGTTAACTGTAAGGCTGGTAGTTCAAACCTACCAGCCACTCCTTGGAAACTCTATACAGGGTTGCTATGAGTCAGAACCGACTCAACAGCGCTAACAACAACAACAACAACA